CATTATTTCTTGATTGTCTTATTACATTATTTTACATGCCAAACCAGGGCAGTTGACAGTGTTGACAATCCTAAACCAGACTATTCAATTTAGCCCTACTAGTGAAATGGTTAGAAGTTAGATTGGGGGTTCAATGCCCTACAAAACAAGAACTATGACTATGATATCTGTTAACATCAAGCCTAAAAATTCAAAACTGAATACTTGTAAGAGTTAGTATTTTTTAAGAAGAAACTTTTAATTTGTTCTTTCATTTGTAAACTATTCTTGTGGTTCAATGAAGTTTGTCTAAGTCTAAGCCCAAGTCTAACAAACTTCTTTTATATTTTTGCTTTGTATAAATATGACAGTGAAAACATTTAAGCATCATGACAAGCCCTCATTTACCTCATAAAAATTCAGGGTTACATCATGACGAACATTAGAATACTAGAACAGTTAGTATTAATTAAGAATTACTTTACATTTTTTCTTAAATACTTCTAGCAAAATCCTAACAAACTGTTCTGTACTTTTGCATTGTATAAACTTGTTGACAATTCTCGAATCCTAACAAATAATAAATATTTTTCCTTGTGGATCAATGAAGTTTGTCGAAGTCTAACAAACTCTTTTATACTTTTGCATTGTATAAACGTGACAGTGAAAACATTAGCAAACAATTAGAACCACAACATTACAGGGAGTCATTACTGAGAAAGCACCATGTGATCTTTAACATAGCACAGATGCTCGGGAATCCCACATTTTGAAATATAACAATAATTCCAAAAGTATTGAAAACTGAATATTGATTTCAGAAGCAGTTTATTAAACAAAACTGTCTGTTCTGGGAGCCCTGCGTGCATGTAGTTTATTGTGCCTGGCGTGTCTGTCTAGTGTCTTTTTCCATTTTAAAAGCATATTTTTTTTACTATGACAGTTCTCTCTCATTCTCTCTGGCTCTAGCTGCTGCTCGTCCTACTGGGAATACACGGCCTTGAGCTTGAAACCTGTTTACATTTTCAGCATGTTACAAATTATCTGAGAAGACTAACTTTGCGTGACTTGGCAGGAGCCTTCACCTTGCTCGCATGTTGTTTGGGTCAAAAGTATTTCGGGGGTTTGCGCTCTCAATTTGACTGTCTTGGTCTGACATGGTGCTCCGATCCAGATGTGCGCGCCGTGGTTTTCATAGCTATACACACACACATATGTTCACTTGTACATTTATAATTCTCAGGCATTTGGACAATATGTCTATAATAAATGTGGTGTGGCGTGCTGACAGGGCGTCTCGCATGTTCAACACGGTTTAAGCTCAGCGGGAAATCCGGCTACACTTCACCATGGTGATGTATGGAGAGCTCCAGCCATAAATAACTGTCTGAATCCAAACCAGTGCTGTGTCTGGAGTGGACACATAACTCCCTCTCATTGTAATGGGACTATTTTTTATGTAATTTCTGCAGTTTATATTTTTATTTATGTTCTGGGAATTTTTCTACCAACAGCTCAGTATTAAATATGAGTATCATTACTTACTACTGTATCGCAGTAATAGTAATAGTCGTAGGAAACTGAAGTAGAGTGCAGAGAAAGTGCAGTAAAACCTTTATTCATATTATGCTATTAAATTTAATATTTTGTAACTTTACTGTCCCATTTCATTGTGCATTTGACACATCTTTGAATGTTGCCCTGGGTCTTGAGCCTGGCCTGATCAGGAGCCAGGACTATCTTAGCTGGAAGATTGGATCTATGGTGCAAGTTTTGGGTTGATGGGGGGAAACCAGAGTGCCCAGAGGAAACCCACCCAGACACAGAGAGAACATGCAAACTCCACACAGAAAGGGGCACCCCACGAATCGAACCCAGAACCTTCTTGCTGTGAAGCATAAGCATCTCTGCCACCATGCCCATTTGAATATATTAAGTAAACTAAAAGAGCAGGGGTAGGTGAAACTTTTTTTTTTATTATACTCTGAGTAAGCTAATGCAGATGGAACATCATTATAACTAACCAGGCTGGCGCCACCTAGTGCCTCCACTCAATTTCATTTCTCTCCAGCAACTAGGTCAGAAATCAAAATACACTAGACGGTTTGCAAAAACTCTGGAAGTGCAAGTTCAGGCACCAGCCAATCAGCAAAGAGCCATATATTTAGTGTTGTCAACGATTCCCGAGATCAAGGATTTAAAGCCGGAATAAAGAGAATGTTTGGTGAATTTCATCAATGGGAAAGACGTTATTGCCCTTCTTCTTACGATATTTTGGAAAAGCTTAATATACCAGTTAGCCCCGTTAGCCTCGCATTACATACGTGACTACCAAACAGCAGCGATTGGTTAAATGATAAAAAGTACCGTCCTACCATTGAGCAAACGAATTCTAACGCTGCGAGGTCAGACGGTTTCTACGAAGTGAAACCGGCTGATGAATCTGGCTTCATTATAACATGGCATAAAAGTAGATTTTACAAAATACCGTATGTCCGTTTTAAGCAAAGCCATTGTCTGCATGCTTTCTTACACTTGAAGATTATGCTGTATTTCCCCGTCATGATGTATGGTTTGCTCTAATCATAAAAGACTGAATACATCTATGTTCATTGTAAACAGTTTGCAGTGGTCCAAAGTTATTACTCATTTACCATTTTGAGCATTTTAATTATTCACCACGATGAGTTTGTTTATCGCTTTTCACAACTTTCAGAAACTAACAACTGGCATGCTAACCCGCACTTCCTGATTATTGGAAAATAACTACTTTCTAGTTAAATTCAGACAGTGCACGGTAGGTGTTTTTTTGACCTACAAAGCTGCTTATACAGTATATCTTGATCAAGTAAAATTTTCCTCAAATACATGGGAAAGAATTAAGTGCGGGACCTTTAAATTAACCTTATAAATTTCAGCTGTGGGTTCAACAGATTTCCTCGTACTTAGTCTCAGTCGATCTGATTATCTCATCATTAAAACAACATCTTTCCGTGTTCTCCTAATATCCCAGAGGAGCCTGTGTTATGGTTTGGACTCATAAGAGCTGTAAGCCCGTTTCTTGATTGCAGACAAAAGATGAAGGATGTTATTTTGTCTGAAGATAAGACCTAAGCTAATCCCAGATAATGTCAGATCCTAATGCAAAACAGGTTTATGATTTATTTCACTTCATTTGCCTGGAATAGCCCCCTCAGTTAACTGTCAAAATGTAAATATATGGTTATTACTATTTGGCTGTTGGTATTTCAGGGCCCATCCACATGAAACAACTGATTTAAAGTTCAGTGTTATCTCTGTCAGAATACACACTAAAGTTAAATCATTTATAATTTACAGTATTAGTAAAACATTATTCAAACACAGATGTGACTGTTTGTAGTTGAAAGGATTTAGGACTAGTCATGAGATTAACTTTCAAATTTATGGGCCAAAAATAACGAAGTTTTAATACAATAATAATAATTAGAAATTTTAGTTGGTAATTTCTTTTAAAAAGCATAAATTGCCCATAGAGTTATTACACCGAGTTATGTGTGTTTTCCTAGTTCATAAAAAACAAACACTACATTTCACATGTGGATTGTTACCATTTAAAGTAAAGAATTCAAGTCGATATATTAAATGGACAAAAGTCATTCATTCATTCATTCATAAAGTGCTGATTAACTTCTTGGGTTATTTTAAAGCAACCAAAACATGTCAGAAATTAACAAGAAATCAATGTACAAACGAAGACGAAATGTTTTTGTAGGCCTGTCACATTACTATAATTACTATATCGACTCATCGTTCAATACGTGTCAACAGTAACTTTTGGAGGTCAACATTTATCTTTAATACTTTTTTCCTTGTACATGTACCGGTTGGAATCTTTGGTTATTTTTTCTGCAATATGAGTTAGCAGTAGAAGGTTGGTAAATTGGGGTAGGACATTATAAGTTTTTTTTGTTTTTTTTTTAACTTCATCCTACTCCTTTTGAACATTGTGAGTGAAACCTGTAAACACAGATCCTGGAAGTGAAGAGACACACACAATAGATATAACATATTTATATAAATAAAACCAATAATTTACAGTAAATTCAGATAATGCAATATGACAGTATTGTATTTAGCATCACATGCAGAGCTTAATGAAATATACATGGATGAAATGTGTCTCAAATATATTTATAAAAACTGATTTTTTACAAAAAAAACTGAATAGATGCTGCGTAAAGACACATAAGTGAACAATAGTATTTAGCAGCAGCAGAATATTTCAGCTTTTCAACATCTCACCAGGAGCAGCACAAGGCCAAGTCAGACCACAAACCTCAATTTTCACTTCAAACCAATAATATGAACTTTATGAGCCTTTGATATACCACTTTGGGTAGCATAGAACATATTGGAATTAGTCTTGGCATTTATTTGTTTTTAATGCACACTGTCACTTTAACAGATGAATACAAATAAAACTCCCACACTTTAATGTATCAATAATATGCATGAGGCTGTTTTAGTGTCAAAAGTCTAGCACATTATGTAAGATTTTCCACTATTTGCCCTATTATTTTGACTTTTTTGACAGAGAGAACATGCAAAACCCCACCGACCCAAATTTGAACCTAGAACCTTCAACTGTGGGTGCATTTACATGGCCATTAAAAATCTTATAAGTAGAAACCCAATAATTAGGTCTGATTTTGCGGTGTGTTTACAAACATAAGATAAATCTGATCCTCAAGAACACCTGGGCTCATGTTAATAACAAGATTAAGATTTTTAAATTAACCCTTGTATTTTGAGGTCAAATGACAATTAATTTTAAAATAACTCTTTCAGTATTTGTCTCTCCCACTTTGGTTTGTCCATTTTTCTATAATTTCTTTGTTAAAACCTACACAGATGCAAACATTTCAAATAAAATCAGATGTAATGTTCACATTTCAATAATCCGATTACTCCAGAAATCAATCAGATTTTAGATGTGCATGTAGCCAATTTCATTACAGTAGCAGTATCCCCTTGCGGCATCTTCTTCATGTGTAAATTACAGTAAAATCACGTAGATTTGCAGTCTGACCTTGGCCTTAGAGTCTGGTCTGTTATAATAAAGTTCATTTATGTGCGATTGTCTTCACTCGTTTCACTGCATCCTCCTCTGTGCATCTGTGGCTCTAAGCGCTTTGTGAAAGTCAAGTCCAGCTTGCTTTAGCTTCATTTCAGACATGTCCGTGGCCGGTGTGTCACTCCAAAACAGTCCACTAATACAAGTTCACTGTCTGTTATATAGAAAAACAACAGCTTTACATGAAAATACATTAAAGATGCACAGTTTAACTTTTCTGGAGGATGGTCTGTCTCCGGTTTTGCCTGGAAAGCCTCTGTATGGCATACGGCAGTGGTCCCCAACCGCGCCACGACCAGTTTCATATCCGACAATATTTCATGGACCGGGAGGAGGCACAGTGTGTAGTCCACGCTGGTTTTAGACCTGTTTTACACCTGGTTTAGAGCTGGTTTAGTCCTGGTTTTGTCCTGGTTTTGTCTTGGTTTTAGTTCTGGTTTAGTTCTGATTTAGTCCTGGTTTAGTCCTGGTTTTAATTTTGGTTTAGTCCTGGTTTTGGTCCTGGTTTAGTCCTGATTTAGTCCTGGTTTAGTCTTGGTTTTAGTTCTGGTTTAGTCCTGGTTTTGTCCTGGTTTTAGTTCTGGTTTAGAGGCGCGGCCCACATGGTGTATGGGAGGGTTTGCGCATTCACGGTCTGGTACCAAATGACCCTTAGCCCCTTGGCCCATGGCCCAGGGGTTGGAGACCCCTTTCATACAACATATTTTTATATCTATCTTGCATTTATAAATTTATGCCATTGTTGTTATGAATATAACTTGAAAAACATGCATTCGTGGGATTGCCTCTCCAGATTTGCCCTGTTTCTGGTGGTGTCCTTCGCTTGTTTCCTAGGTGATAATAATAATAATGCTTTTGATTTATATAGCGTTTGTTTCCCATGACATCAAACAAGTGGTGTCCCCTCCACATAGTTTATTAATGCCATACTTTGCACCATTTTAGGCAAAGCAATAACATTTCCATGACGACAAAGGAAAATGCCCTACTCTCCACCAGAAAAGTTACACAGTTCCCCTTTAACTATAACAACAACAATTAGACTTTCCTTTTTGTAAACCAGTTCAAATAAAATACAATTCTTTACAATGTCTCTTTTTAACTTTACAATATGGCTGTACAAACGTAGTGGTGATAATATTATATGGTTAGATCCATAGTTTTCAGTCTATCCGCCGCTCCTCCTCTCGACACTGCATGGGGATGAAATGAGACGCAACGTGCTCCCTCCTGGTTTTCTTTCCTCTCACGGGTCGGCCCTTCTGAGACAGCGCTATGAACATCTGCTTTCCGTTTTTAGTCCACTTCACGGAGGAGTACGCGTTGAAGTAGTTTTCTAGGAACACCTCCTTAAAGTTGCAGTTATCAGTGTAGACTCTCTGTGAAGCAAGACAATACAGGATCAGTATAATGAACATAATGAGCAGTTCGTTGGTGGGGTTATATTAGAAAATGTAAATGTCAGTAATTTTGGAAATATGCACAAAATTTTGAAAGAAATCGTTGATAGTGAAATATTTTTAACGCTCCTATATTACACAGAACTGATCATTATGAAGCCTTTATTTAAGCCTATATTTAATATATATATATATATGTATGTGTATGTATATGTATATATGTATATTATATATATACTTTATAATGATGTTACCTCCTCAAAAACCTATGTGGAGTTTTGTTTTGTTTCATTCACATGTTTGAGTAATCCTGCATTATTTAGTCTGTCTACATCTCCAAAGTTCAAACTGCTGTTCCACCCTGTGACGTCATGTGGTAACTTCCAAGTTAACAGCTCCTTTTACCTTTAGTTCGATGGAGATTGGCAATTCCAGGGCTGAAATTACCCAAATGATTCTAGTGGAGTTAAAAAGCACGTCCTGTATTGCCACATGACTTCTCAAGGTTGATCAGAGTGGTTTGAGGGGAGAACACAGCTTAAATATGCAGCATTTGTAATAATAATGCATCAGTTTTATATAGCCCTTTTTTGAACACTCAAAGATGCTTTACAGAGCATTATTCATTCACTCCATACCCGGTGGTGGTAAGCTACTACTGTAGCCACAGCTGCCCTGGGGCAGACTGAAGCAAGTCTGCCAATCTGTGCCATTGGCCCCTCTGACCACCATCACTCACACACACCACTTTCATACTAGGCAATGAGGGTGAAGTGCCTTGCCTAAGAACACAACAACAGTTTTTACGACTGGCACCCCCCTGTGGCACCTGATTTTCCCAGTGGTCTCCCATCCAAGTACTAACCAGGTCCAGCTCTGCTTAGCTTCTTAGATCTGATGGGATCAGGCTTTGACAAGCTGGTATGGCCATTTGTGTGTTAAACATGTGTGAATGAAACAAAACACAACTCCAGGTATGTTTTTGATTAGGAAACAACATAAAAACAATAAATATGGGCCCTTTAAAGGCTGAAAAAAGAGCTGATTTACATTTTTATATATTGCCTCATTGCACATGAATATTACCATTGCCATTGTCAGTATTGCCCACCCCTAAGTAGACCTGGTTTAGATCTGGTTTATTAGTCGTGTGTACAGCCTCTCCCTGTAATCCAGTTCTGTGCCTGCTTTATAAACTCATTAGACTCAGCAAGACACTGGAAGACACCGTAATCATGAGTTCACTACCAAGAGATTCAAATGCAGAGAAACAGTCCTACCACTAGAGGGCTACACATGAATACACGTCAACTCCAGACCTAGAAAATATGCAATATTAAAAGTTTAATTTAATCCAAGTTAATTTTATGTAATATCAATAATACTAATAATGACGGATTTTAAAAATTTAATTTCAGGGCATTGACTTTATAAATGCTGCCTGACGATTTCTACAAAAACATTTTCTTGACGAGTCTATATCTGTCTAGTTGTATGTTGTTTTTTTGTCAGGATGGTTTAAGTGTTGATGCCACCTCGAATTAGTTTGACAAATGCCATCTGCTCCAATGACAAACTACAGAAGCCTGCAGGGATCAAAAGTCAAACTGGAAAATTCCCAGTGGGTAAACTTGGACAGGTTTTGGCCTTTTGTTTAGTTATGTGTCAGAGAAATGCACACACATTTAAATGGAAATTAGTGTGTGGGAAAGTGCAGAAAATATGTTTCAAGATATTTTATTTAGTGTTAAAAGTGCACTGTGTAACTTTTCTGGAGGGGAACCTGTTTGTCATGTTAATGCTTTGGTTTAAACTGTCATCCGTGTGGCATTAAATTAATCTGCCTTGCGTTTATCTGTATGTTGCGTTAGTCTGGCACAGATTAAAAGTTTGTGGCCATACCAGTTTGTCAAAGCCTGATCCTGTCAGATCTCAGAAGCTAACCAGAGCTGGACCTGGTTAGTGCTTGGATGGGACACTTCTGGGAAAATCAGGTGCCACAGTAGGACGCCAGTCGCAAAAACTTTCATTGTGTTCTTAAGCAAGGCACTTCACCCACATTGCCTAGTATGAAAGTGGTGTGTGCGTGAATGGTGGTGATGGCCAGAGGGGCTGATGGCGCAGATTGGCAACCTCGCTTCCATCAGTCAGACCCAGGGCAGCTGTGCCTACAAAAGTAGTTTACCACCACCGGGTGCGGAGTGAATGAATAATGTTTGGTAAAGCGTCTTTGAGTGTCCAGAAAAAAAACTGATGCATTATTATTATTGTTATAAATGCAAGGCAGATTAGTTTAATGAGCAATATATTTTTGAGCATTTTTTTTTTTTTTTTTTTTTTTTTTTTTTTTTTTTTTTGAGTAATTGCTCAAAAATACCTTAAAACAACATCCATTCTAACAGTGAGTGGGGTCACCTCTCCACAACTCTAACCTGTTATTTGGGTACAAGTCTCCATGGAAAGTCATAAGTTTATGGCCATACTGTGGAACATTTTAGGCAGGTGACAGGTGACAGATTCTCAAGATGACAGTTACACAGTGCACCTTTAAGTAATATTAGACTTATTTCAGAGTCTGTTTTCCTACACAGTGCGGCATATTTTATCTATCACACTTGCCAATTTGTGTGGCTTTTTTAGCTCTTGACAACAAACCAGTAACTAATAGCATTCATTTTCGTTCTGAATCAAAGTAGTGTATACAGAATTTTCAAATCATCCTTATTCCAAACATGTGGTCCATTTTAAATTGGAAAAATACAGTACAATTAGGGGTGGAGGATTAATCAATTGAGAGATCACGATTCGGACATCTCTAATCCTCAATGATATGGTCGGGGTTTTTGAATCCAGAAGTCTACAGCCAATTCTCTGTCAGAAAAGCATGTGGTTTGGAGCAGAGTTCAGACATTGGAGGAAGAAATTGGACTTATTTTTGTTTGTTTTTGGTTAAATGGCACAGGTTAAAAGTCTATATTGTATATGTTCATGAAATCAATATTAAGAGCCATTTTAATTTGTTTGGAAAAGACTAAATCCAAAACTGAGATGTGCATTTTTCCTCTATATCTTCCAGCCTTAAAGGTACATTGTGCAACCTTTCTGGTGGGGACGCCCCTCAAATCCTCTGCTCTATGGAGACATTATTGCTTTATCAGGAATGTTTCAGAATATGGTACCAAACCAGACCAAGTTACAGGTCATATCTGTGGCGAGGTGACCCTGCTTATGGTAAAAATGCGTGTTTTTCTAGGTACTTTTGAACTATAAAATCACCTGTAATTGAATAAACGTACGGTAGAACTGTTTGTCATACTGTGGAACTTTCTAGGCAGAGCAATGACCATGTCCATAGAAACAAGCAGGTGATGGACCCCAAACCAAAAAGTTACATAGTGTACTTTTTAAATACAAACACAATACATTAATTTTTCCCCCCCTAACAACAGATTTTTCAGTAGTTTGAGAGTTGTAGAGGCTTTACCTTGGTGTGCAGTTGTCCAGCCTTGTTCATGCAGATATAATATTGACTCTTGACTCCTTTGATGGCCAATATGCCCCCCTCTGAGACGGTCCTGATCTCCAGAATACCTGCAGACACACAGATGGGACAATGGACTGATAAGACTGTGGTTCATTAATCTCCTTTTGCGAGGGGCTGGAGAGGATCTTTCAGTAGACTCTCCATGGTCTGGTTCTGGTCTATCTCTGGTCTTGATCTGGTTTGCATCTACATCTTGATCTTGTTTTTGTCGAGTGCTGCAAGATAACAGCAATTAAACCAAAATTGCAATTTGAAAGGCCGCAAATGACAAATCACGAAGACTGTAAGTATTTAGGTAACAATTTCCTGTGCAAACAAAGAAAAGCCCTGTTTTAGCGTAAAATCTGCTAACCCTGTTGTTAAGACCTCTACAGTCCCTGACAAAAGTCTTGTCGCTTATCCATTTTGTAGAAACAAAAGCTTATAACTTGACTTTAAATTAATCCATTGGTTTTAGAAATGTCTCATATGAAAGCTAAAACCCTCCCAAATTATGCTCAATATACTAAAAAAAATTTGCTTCACTGAAAAAAGATTGATCATTTAATGAACACAGAAAGGTCAGATTTTGGCAAGACAAAAGTCTTGTCGCCTTGTCATATGATGCACCCAATCCTAGATTACAGCCTCACCTGTGGTCAGTTACTGATCAGTCAATTAGTGGGTGTGTATAAAAAGACCCCCAGCACACCAGACCTTCACATCAACTGCAACTTGACCTCTGACAACATGCCTAAGATCCACCCTGAGACCAAAGCATTAATTATCAAGAGGCTGAAGACCAGATCCACTGCTGAGGTGGCTGACACCCTCAATGTGTCTCAGCGTCAAGTACAAAGAATAAGAAAAAGATCTGCAATGACTGGAGATGTTTTTGACAAGCCCAGGTCCAGCAGACCCCGCAAGACAACTGCTCGGGAGGACCGTTTGTTGATTCGAAAATCCAAGGCCCCTTTTCCACTGCAGCAGACTCCACCAGGCCTGGTCACCTCAAGTCCCTGTGTCAACCTGAACAGTTTGTAGAATTCTGTCTCGAAATGGCCTCCATGGTCAAATCAGTGCACAGAAACCAGCACTAAACAAAAGGCAATAAAAAAAAAACGTGTGGCATTTGCCAAGGCCCACAGCCTGCTAAAAGGATGGACACTGGGAAAGTGGCAGAAGGTGGATTTCTCAGATGAATCCTCGGTTGAATTACATCACAGCTGCCACACATATTGCAGGAGACCTACTGGAGCCCACATGGATCCAAGATTCACCCAGAAAACAGTTAAGTTTGGTGGCGGAAAAATCATGGCCTGGGGTTACATCCATTATGGGGGTGTGCGAGACATTTGCAGGGTGTAAGGCAATATCAATAACCTAAAATATCAAGAAGTATTAGCTCCTCTTACATTCCCAACCATAAAAGGGGTCAAATTTTGCAGCAGGATGGTGCTCCATCGCATAATTCTATCTCGACATCAAAGTTTCTCAAGGCGAAGAAGATCAAGGTGCTTCAGGACTGGCCAGCCCAGTCACCAGACATGAACATCATTGAGCAGGTCTGGGGTAGAATGAAAGAGGAAGCATGGAAGGCAAAACCAAAGAATCTTGATGAACTCTGGGAGGCATGTAAGACTGCTTTCTTTGCTATTCCTGATGACTTCAATCAACAAATTGTATGAATCATTGTGGAACCGCATGGATGCCGTCCTTCAAGCTCATGGAAGTCATACAAGATATTAAATATGGATCTCACAGCACCACTACTTAATTCACTGACGTTATGCAACATATTTTTGTATTTGAAGTTCAATTATCTGTAGGCGACAAAACTTCTGTGCACTGAGAAAAAGTGAGGAGTGGGGGGTGGTGGGTGCACACAGAGATTTCGTGCGACGACAGTAGTTTCGAGGATTGTTACGACCCAGCTCGTTTGGGTAAGGGAAGTAACAAAATTAAAACCAAGATGTAAAATGGAATAAATTAAATAATGTTTAATTAACAGGAATGTAAAGGTAAATTAACAAAAGACTAAAAATATACAGAAAATAACCTAAACTAAGAAACAGAACAACAGAATAAAGAGTTTTGTGCCACAAAAGGGGTCATGCAGGCTTACAAAAACGAGTGGTAAAACTTAGTGACACACACTAAACTAAAACACAAGTTCTCTAAATTAAACCACATAAGCCACAAACAGAATCGAGTGACCAAATCAAAAAAGGCACAAAACAGAACTAAACTAAACACACAAACACACACATGAAACAAAATGGCATACTGGCCACCAAAGCCAGCAGCCCCGAACAGGTGCTGGCAATCTCCTTAAATAGGGGGAGGTGGCTGCAGGTGAGGTGGGCGTCGACCTGCCCAGCAATCACGGACCAGGGCTCCTACAGCAGGAATTAGGAGAACTTGGCAAAAATCACACAAACAATTTGGAACCAAGGCCTGGGGCCGTAACAAGGATTCACATGGTTCGAAGGGACATAGTCAATTCAGGGGCCATTCATTGTCAAGCGGCCACCTTAACCATAAAACGCTACAGGGAACACTGTAGAAGCCTTCAGACACCACATTTCAAACTTTTCTGGGTAAAATAATTGTTTTCAAATGGAAAGGTACAATAAAAGTACTTAAATGAGTAGTCAAAAAGACACATCTGATGCACTGACGCCTGATGTGCACTGACTGCAAGTGCTGTGCAATTTGGGATTAACACTGGTCCCACAAGATTTACTTAGAACTTAATTAAGACCAGTGCGCCCTGCCACACTGACCTCTGGCCTCTGAGCCTGCCACACTGACCTGCGAGGAGTGTGACTGCGGGTGAAGAAATCTATTTTTGCCGAACACCTCAACGGTCTAGTGCAGGTTTCAGGTCATTACACATGAATTATTGTGTAAAACAAAGTCAAACAGCGTCAAACCGTGTAAAACTGTGTTGCTTTGGTCAAATACGCTCAGCAGATGTCTCATTGGTATAATAGGCAATCTGCAAGTAACCCGCTGTGTGTATCTTACCGCACTTAGCCATGAACACCGGGTGCAAGAACAAACTGATGATAGCAAATTGGCAGGGAGTTAATCTTTACAGGACATACTGATATTTTGCAGTGACATCATGCTGGGGAATGTTCTGCATGCATGTCTATGGCACAATAGGAGGGACTTGATTAACAGCACAAATTAGATAATCTGTTTTTGTTTTAACTGAGTCAGTTCTTTATGATCAGATTAAAGTCTAACTTGAGTAACAGAGTTTCAGACAGACCAGTGCCTCCACCCCTCCAGGGAATGTTGATGATCAGCTGCAAAATATCGATACAGATATCTGAAAAGAAATCTTGCAATCTTTTTTCTGGATCCTGATTTGGTCCAGGTCTGTATCTGGTTGAATTGTAGGTCTTAGTTTTAGTCTAGGTCTGGGTGGCCTGTACAAAAGCAGCAGTGCCACATCTGTAAGGCAGATCAGAGCTCTCCCCGGAGACAAAGGGAACGACCTCCTCAAACTTTGCACGCCAAGTTCAGACCGACTCACAGTCTGGGCTCTGAGGGCTAGGACTGATGCACGGTAAATTAAAGTAGTAAAAAAAGAGTAACTATTCAGTCTCGTGAAATTTCAAATTTATTCTACATAAACCTCAGTCTGGTTGTAACAATAAATCAAAATGTGTGACCAGTCACCTGCTGAAACTGGTTCTTAAACAGATTACAATATTTGGTTATATACAATACAAACCGTGTGATAAACAAGATTTGTCACAAAGACAGCATTGTTAATGAATCAAAATGAAATAACAGAAAATTTTGTGATGCCCATTGAAAAATTACAGTTAATAATTAGTAAATATTCTCTATCAAAAAGCCTTTATGTGAACTATTATATCTTAAACTGGTTTATATACAGAGATATCAGTATTGACCCCACTCCCACCCTCCATATTAACCCCCTCTATGCGATCCTGGTGTTTTTATTTTGCTATTTTGTCCATGAATCAATTCCTATTCCTAATGGAACTTTGTCTCAAAATTTGCTCCTGCAACCAATAGCCTCTGTGAGCTTCATTTGACTGGAGCCAAACGTTTTTAGACTCACTTAGTAAACTTCTTTATACAGTCTATGCTTGTGTCTTAAGCCAGAACCAAACATGATCGTCCAATCAGTTTAGTTTTTTCAGGGTGAAACCAAGTAGCTCATTGGTCACCTATCATTTTGAATAAAATGCTGTTCCTCTCACTGCAGATTAACAGAGTCTGGTGCTTTGTTCACTGATTCTGTGTTTTAGTGATATTGATTTTACTCCTAAGTAGCCATATTTCTTTTGGTACAGACTGACCAGGAGGTTTGTGCTGTTACAGTGATTTCTTATGACAGGCCTTTATTACTGGGTTTCACATGACATCACAGTTTTCAGCCTTTTTGTATCTTAAAATGAGGGTTGAAAATATCACTTTGTGGTTAGATACATATAGCATAGCACATAATTTGGTCAGCTTCAATATTGTAAGTTTCATCTTTTTCATCCTATGGTATCTTACTGTGAGTTTGGTAGTTCTAGTCCATATTTTTATCCTTATAATAATATTCTATGGAACTATAAATGGTATAATGCGTGACTATTCTAGTTCGTATTGTGCTTTATCATGGTATATCCTATGACCTCTTAATGCTGGCCCTAGTTCAGCCAATGCCCTAATTCAGTGCTGTATATTTTCGTATTGAACTTCTTTTATTGATACTTTGCAGCTGACGTCATCAGTCAATCTGACCATAAAGAACTGACTTAACTGAACCTGCAATTGATTTGTGCTGTTAAAGTCTCAGAATCAGTCAGCATTTTTTTTCTTGAAAATCAATCACATAAAAATGACCATGAACGTATTGATCATCACCTTTTTGATAGTGTTTCTTGCTACTGCAACTACTCAACATTTCACCATAGAGAAACATGTAGAATATATATATTTTTAAAAATCTTTATATTTTAAAAAGTATTTATCCAGTAAAGCCAAAAAATCTGGATTTTGAATAAAGAAGCAACATGCATTTGTTAATGTTTTTATAACCTTCTCTGATCTGATAGCACTTACATGTATCTAAGTGGTGGTCATTCACCAAACCTGGATTTTTCATATTTTGTGATATTCTGTGATTAAAGGTGCACTGTGAAACTTTTCTGGTGGAGGGTCTTTCATCTGCTTCTGACGTGAAGTTACATGTCAGATCTGTGGACATGCGAGCTCTCTCATAGTAAGAATGTAACTTTTTAGGTCAATAACAACCCACATTATTCAATAATAATAAGAGAGGGGTATGTTTAATCCCATACCAGGACATTCCAGACAAAACAATAACATTTTCACGGAGACAAGCAGGTAGTGGACCTTTCACCAGAAAAGTTACACAGTGCAACTTTAATCCAAATTCCCAATTGAAACTAGAGATCAATCAAATTGTTTTTTTTTTCATGGTCATTGCCAATACTGTTGTTTAGAATTCAGAGAAACCAATGGCCGATGACCTCTGCTGATAATTTTGGGCCAATGTGTAGGCCAGTCTTGAATTATTTTTCTACTACTAACTACTAAAAACTGACCCACAGCTCATTTTATTTTACCTCAAACCTAAAAGTGAATTATGTAGTCACATTTCATGCAGGTTTCTCTTGGCATTCAAGTGTTCAAATAAAGCTTTATGGGTATATTTAGGCAGCTAGTCAGCCAAAACAAAATATTGGCCTGTGCTGGAGATTTAAGGCCGATAGCCAATATGCTAAAAATGAAAATATCGGTGTTCCACTTCAGTTGAATGTTTTGTTTACACACTTCTGAAGGGCTTTTTGTAGTGGTAGTTCCTGTGGCGATTGTGTAGTTCTTGCAGCATTTGTGTAGTTCATGTGGCATTTGTGTGTTAATAGTGTTCTTGTCTGGCAGCCCTTTGGTGGGACAGCAGAGGAAGCGCTCCATTAGGGCCCTTCTCTCTGACACTGAGCAGATCTTCGGTCAGGGCCAGATCACAAACAGATGTCGTCTGATGCAGGAATGTTGTTTGTGCGCGCTGATAATTCTGCCCTTTAAGGCACTTCACTACGGATCACTGATACCTGAAAGTACCGCTGCTTGTGTAACGTTTACAAGTTTAAGAGCTTTCGAGTTATAGTTACAATTTTAAGAGCTTTCGAGGAAACTCTGGTTAGGTCTCTGCACAAGCTGCATGAAGATCTGTTGTTGTAGTTGGTAAAAAATAAACGAGGGTGGGTTATGTAGCCAAAAAACTTACTTACGTAAGTGTACCATTAATTCAGAATGATATTACTCAAGTAGTGATAGTGATGCAAGACCGTAGGCTCCTCAAGTAAGAGTAAAAGAGTAGAAAAGAGTACAAAATATGGTGTTTTCAAACGATGGACCACAAAAATGAGAAGAATTAAATGGTCACATTTATTATACAGCACTTTTCTGCCTTCACCTTACATCAAGGAACCACTCACCCATTCACACACACATTCATACACCATGTGTATTGCTCAAGGACACAGTAACAGCATTCATCTGTGGGAACTGAAATCACACCATCAACCTGTGGGTCAATGGACCTGACCACTCTCTCAATGATGTTTATGTCGAGGGATTTAAACCACCAACCTTCGGCAAAAACTACTAACTGGGCTATTGATGCCCCATTACATCATCTGAATAAGCAGCAGTTGTTCAATTCATTAACAAAAATAAAGAGGGAAGAGTAACCAGAACTTTTACTCAAGTAAGAGTATACAGTATTTCTTTGTATCCAAAAATTGAAATGTATACTTCAAAATCACACATAAAGCAAATGTAACTGAGGCTGTTCTTTGTAGTACCTATTTTACACCAAGGGTATCTAAACTTAGTCAGGCTGGCACTACCTAATGCCTTCACTCAATTTCATTTCTCTCCAGTGACTAGGTCAAGCAACAGACTATACTAGATGGTTGCAAAAACCCCGGAAGTGCGAGTCTGGGCACCAGCCAATCAGCGAAGAGCCTACCATCGAGCGAACAAATTCTAACTGGCAGATGAATCAGGCTAGTCTAAACTATGGCACAGGGACAAAATGCCCTCAGACCAATTTCTATTTGCTCTCAAGCTTTCTGCTAAACTGGTCTTACACCAAATAAAGGTAATTATATCTCTATAACCCCACAACACCACACTGCATTGTGATACAGACTTAAATGAAGCCTTACTCAAGTTATGGCAGCTCTATTTAAAGTGCACCATATGAATGATCCACTGTAATGACCACTGATCTAAAGCCCTCCACTTCAAATATGTTTCCAGACATGGCCCTTGGCGAATCAATTCCACTAGACACTCATGCCAAGGAAGGTGGAAGGTGATCTGACTACAATGGACTCAAATGCCAGGAAATATATTCCATTTCCAGTTTCGTTGAATGGTTATCTATCAACCAGCAATTGCAGCCCAGACAATTTGTATTGGGCCAAGGACATTTTTGCAAAAATATGTAATTGTGTTTTTCACTAATATTTGTGACTGTAATATGAACTGCTAAACCAATAAAAGGATCTCATGGTTTTCAGAACATGTTTATGTATAAATTACATCTTAACTCCCTTGGCTCTTTTATGGGATCCAAATCTTTTGTATCTGTTCATTTCCGTTTTATGACAGAAGCCAGTGTGAGAAGTCATTTTATCTACAAACTAATCACTGAGAGAAATGGCCAAGGCTAAGAAATGGTCCAAACTGAGAGTGGGACAGTGTTTACCCATTGAAATTATGCATAATCTAAATAAAGCATGCACTACAACAATAATAATTTATAAACTGTCATTAATATGTCAAATGTTGTTGTTTTTTGTGGACAAAGCTCTTACTCAAACTGCCTACTTTGTTTCTGTGCTGGTTCTTGTTGGTTAGGGGTAGAACTGTTAAAATGCATAAAAACTAGAAAGAAATGGATAAAAAAAGTTATCAAATTCCAGTCGTTCACATTAAGGAACCATATCTCCATTTCTTACTTGATGCAGACAGGATATTTTGCTGTTTGCAGAGAAAATTAAATAATACTTGTGATTTCCTGTTTGCGATCATTCTAATGATTTTGATTTGAGTACACATATTTTGCAGAAGCAATTGTGCCTCAGATCTAAAAAGAAATTACAATCTTTCAAATTAAAGTCTGATATGTACTGCCTTGTAAACATTAAACTAAACTAACATAAAACTATGGGACTTCAGTGTATTAAAATACTTAAATGTGACTGAAAAACGGTGGTTCAGGCTTGACGGGAGCCACTAGATTAACTTTTGACCTTCGGCTCCAGTCAAATGAAGCTCATGAGGCTGGCAGTTATAGGAATTTGTAGCCGAGTTCAATATTCGGAACAATTATTAGGACATAATATTGAAATAAAACACCAGGATCATGTAGAGCGGGTTAATATGAACATTTTAAGACCAAAATGAAGAGGTTCACTGCAGCAGTTACAGAGAGAGGGGTAACAATTTTTCAATGTAAATTTTATTGATTTATAATTTTAAGCTGATGTAAATGGAAGGATGAAACATGATGCACAAAATCTGGTATTTTCAAAGAATAGAGACAATAATGAGAAAAACTAAACCACAGCTGGAGGAGCAGTGAAAGAAACACAAATCATTTAATATTGCCAACAGGAAAACAGAAGCTTTTGTCACTATTTGAGTACTACCAACTTTTTTTTAACTTAAACTTGCAAATTCTTGTAGTCAGTCTATTGTAGTACTGTCAAGAAAAATGTAGTTTGCGTATTTGTCAGCTAAAGGAAAGCTAATTCAAATTAACACCAAATAACCCAAACTATTTGAATCACACTCATCCTTGTTCTCTTGCAGATTTTTTATTTTTTTTCCAGACAAAAAAATATTTCTGGAATAAATTGTGGAATTTTTCTTCCATGTCCTGTAATTTTGAATGACATTTTAAATTCAAACAAAAAATGTTCCTTTGACTTGACTGTAAATTTCCATCTGATGGATCTCCCTTGTTTTCCTGTTTGTTGGTTGCTAAAAAGCAGATCTGAAGATTATCTAACATTTGATTATGTAACAGTGAAGTCAAATTATGTTCAAATTATAGTGATGACAGCGTTCGTCCCATTGGGTCATCCTATTCTGCTGTCAACGGCATGTCTTTAGAGGAATTATAGAGAGGAGTTCTGTTCAATGTGTCTATAATAAACAACAGTGTATTTGGGTTGTCAAAAGCATAGAAAATCAGATACTAATCGATGCTAAAACTAGTGTCATAACTTGATCCTTGTTTGAGCAGGTATCAATACTAAAGGAGTCGCATTCTTAGGACAGAAATGAACCTTTCCTGAATAGCTTTATAATAATTCTGAGCTAGATCAGAATAAATTCAAGACCTCATAGACTAGTAAATGCCCATGGACCACTATGGAACCTACCTGTACGACTGAGGGATTACAGAGATATAAGACCATATAAGTAAAAGAAAATATTATGATTTAATGTTGACATTCTATTGTCTAAACAAAGAGGATCATTTTGGCGTTGGTATTGACTATCGAGTCTATTTACTATTGGAAATTGAGTTTGAAAATGTGACAGCATTTTACATTGTATTGTTTTTTTTTACCTTACCTTCCACCTACCTGTGTCTATGGATATGATAATGCTTTGCCAACAATGTTCCTCAGTATGGCATTAAAGTTATCTGTCTTGCATTTATTAAGTTACAGGTGTTTTCATTGCGCAAACATAAATTTTACTCTATGCACAGATCTGATGTGTAACTTGGCCTATGGGGGTGTCACCTGCTTGTCTCCATGGGATAAAGAAGCTAATGCCATACTGTGGAATATTCCGAGCTAACCAGAAACATCTTTATGAAGACAAGCCAGTGGCAGACCCTCCTCTAAAAAGTTACATCATGCATCGTTAAGCGTGACAGAAATTTTAGACTAGATATATTTAAATATATTACTATATTTTCTATATTTTTATTTTTACTTGTGCTTTTATAATTATGTCACCAGTCTCTTGCTATTTTTGCTACTTTTGGATTTTTTATTATCAACATTTATATTTTTGCTCTTACTTATTATACTATAGTGATGTGTGAGCCACTGTGTCCCGTGTGGATCAATAAAATTTGTCTAGGTCTAAGTCTATAGAAGAAAAAAATATGGAAAAAGTGGAATATGGAAATGAAGACTTTGGAAACAGACAGTACTCAGAAAAAAACAAATAGTCCCTATAGTTTTCCTTCTCTGCTCATTCCTGCAGCCTAAACCATGAAGATTTATGGCATATCTATCTAACCCACAGCACTGTCTTCAAAGGGCCTTGGTCAGATCCCTGTGCACTTCTTGCATGCTATTGTCAGACACGTGGGTATATCAATTTGGCTGTCTCTCGCTGCCAATTGTTGCACAACTTTCTTTTCCATCAAATTTAAGGCATATTTCTTGTTCGTGCCAGCAATTCCTGCCCCGGCTGCACGCTCTGATTGTCGGAAACGATAAGTGTCTAAAAACATCCTCACTGTGGCATCAAAATAAAAGGGGGAACTAGAAATATGTTCTGTTTACTCTGTGCGGAAAATAGCCCAGATCTGATAAGATGGGGTTACATATTACTATACCCTGCTACTGCTAACTGCAAAGTCATGCTGATTGTTATTTCACACAGTGTACATTGCTACTGCACGGATACGGATAAAACTTCATTATATTTACAACTAGAAGTGGGGAAATTTCCATAATATTGTTGTTTCTGGGGTACTTTAGAATATCAAGTATATTGTCTATGTCACACATGTTTTTTACAGTGTTTTTAACTACAAATGGTAAATAAACTGACCTAAACCTATAATAAAAATAAGACTAAAAAAATGTGCTGAACCAAAACTCGCAGAGTAATCTTCCAAAAAAGGATGTTATTTTTGCAGTTTTGTGTTCAGTTTTACGGCCCATTTCCCTTTGAGTGATACTTGAACCAGCAAACACAAGACTTCCTGACACATTTTAGCACATTTCTGATGGATTGCCATCAGAGATTAACTGATATATGTTTTTCCATGGCCAGTGCCGATACCAATGTTTTTGGGGCTGATATATAATCTAATTTGAATTTAGTACAAACAAACTCATGACCTTGTTTTACTATGTACTGTGTGAAGGAGCAGTGTAGTCAGATTTTTTTTTTTCACTGCCCTCTTTGGACTTAAATCCTTATATATAGCAAAGGAGAAATTCAGTTCTATCAACTGGACAGATTTTTTTTTTTTCAGAATACATACAAACTGTTTCTTCAGTTCTAGTCAGACGCTGGTGGACACTTCCTTATATATGCCTTAAAAGACGAGCTAACTACACTGAAACTACTCTGGAACTAACACACCTATTTGTTTACAGTTTGTCTGTTGAAGTGCTCTAAGTGAGGACTGTGTATGAGTCATATGAGTGTAATCATTCAGGCCGCTGATGGGTGCTTCCTCACCTTCTGAACCTACAGGATATCACTATTGTTATTGTTTTTATACGGATGGACCATGTATTTCCCTGACCTGTCAATCATGCCTATCTGAACTCAAGGAGCTTCAACTGTTACCAGACTTTGTAAAATATTGAAGAAGTGTATATTTTGGATCCCAGGTATGACAGGAGCTTAACATGACAACTAGGGGCCTTATGGGACATGTACTAGTATACTGATTAGTTCACTCATAAATGGTCTTTGTAGGGGTCAGACTTTCTCCTCACAGCAAGAAGGTTCTGGGTTCAATTCCCATACCACAGAGGACTTTTCTGTGCAGAGGTTCATATGAATTGTGGTGACTGAAGTCTGTGTACATACACTATTCTTTTCTCTGTGGAAATGTCTTTCTTTTGGCGGTAACATGCAGGTCCCCTTGAGGTAAATCTTTCATTACAACAACATGGTTCAAAGTTCAGATATGGGTTGATTATGGCTACGGTTAGACCAATAGTAATTAAGTTTAGGATCAGTTTTCAGGGCAGGAAATTAATTTTAAAAAATGTGACCATATAACTCATTGTAATGTGCCCACAAATCATTGAAGCATAAAATGTTATATGGGTGTGTGGTGGGTTTCGGTTTACGTTTTACTCTGGTTTGTTTTATCAATAAAAACAGCTATTACAGAATTAGAGAGAAATCAAATGTTTTATAACTGCATACTATGTACAAAATATTGTCTTAAGCCTTATTTGCAGAAAAAAATATGGCTATTTGAGATGGATATGATATGTCTCTGCATTTCTTATACAGAGAGAGATTTCAGGTACATAGGTTATGGAGCTTTTTTCTCCACATTCTGGTGCTATAATGGGGATTGTCACAGTTAGCCTAAACAAAATGTATCTTAAATAATTATTGTTTTGCTTTCGTATTGTCCAAAGAGATCAACCAATATGGGTCATTTGGAATCCAGAACAGCCAAGGTTTAACAATATTTTTGAGCCGATATGTAGGGCAGATTTTGATTATTTTTCACCAAATTGCGTCATTTTAATTCACAATAAACTCACCTACAGTCCTTTTTACCACAAACCTTCAAGAGGGCTACGAAGTCACATTTTGTGCATTAAAGTGGTCAAATAAAACTTTATGTTTACCCTGAAATAGCTTTATATCTCAAATATCTTTAGTCCCATCCTTACAAGAGTGGACAAAAATTGTATGAAGAGTGTACTCGGATTTACTGGTGCATGTGCAGTGTAGTGAAACAGTTAGTGTAACTCAGTCTGACCCTTGACCCTTGACCTTTGGTGACTTGAATTTATTACAGGGTCAGTTTGGATGGTATTAAAGTTGAAAAGGCCACAGTCACCACCTGCTGTATGTTCCCGCTCGGCTGCCACCACTTTGTCCAGTCACACCTCTCTTATTCTCTTTCTCGCTCACCCCCCTCCCTCTCTCACTCTCTCACGCCTTCTCTGTCACTCTCTCTGTCTCTCTCTCTCTCCTTTCCACTCTTTATCTCTTTCTTACCCCTTCTTCTTCCCCTCTTCTCCCCCTCTCTTCCTCTCTCCCTTTCTTCTCTCTATCTTTCTCTGCCTCCCGTCTCTTTCTCCTTGTCTCACTCTCTGTCTGTTTCTCTCTCCCTCATTCCTCTCTCTCTCTTTCTCTCTTTCCTTCTCTTCTACTCTCTTTCTCTGTCTGTTGCCCCTTCTCTTCTTCTCTCTCTCCCTCTCTCTGTCTCTCTCTCCATCCCCCCTCTCTCTATTTCTCGCTCTCTCCTTTTCACTCTATATCTCTTTCTTCCCCTTTTCTCCTCCCTCTCTCTTCCTCTCTCCCCCTCCCTTTCTTCTCTCTATCTTTCTCTGCCTCCCGTCTCTTTCTCCCTCTCTCCTCTCTCTCTGTCTTTCTCTCTCCTCATTCCTGTCTCTCTCTCTCTTTCTCTCCTCTTCTCTTCAACTCTCTCCCCTTCTCTTCTACTCTCTCTTTCCCTCGCTCTCTCCCCTTCTCTTCTACTCTCTCTTTCCCTCGCTCTCTCCCTCTCTCTATTTCTCCTTTCCACTCTATATCTCTTTCTCCCCCTCTTCTCCTTGCCCCTTTCTTCCTTTCTCCCCCGCTCCCTTTCTTCTCTCTATCTTTCTCTGCCTTCCGTCTCTTTCTCCTCTCCCTCACCCCTCTCTCTCTCTTTTTCTCTCTATGTCTCTCTCTCTCTCCCTCATTCCGCTCTCTCTTTCTCTTTCTCTCTCCCCTTCTCTTCTACTCTTTCGCTCTCTTTCTCTCTCTCTCTCTCTCTCTCTCTCCCCCCTTCTCTTCTCTCTCTCTCTCTCTCCCCCTCCCTCTCTCCCTCTCTCATGAGCCCTATTACTGGCACAGGACTTACCATTTAAATACTGAGAGATTAATGAGAGTGATTAGATGGAAATTAAGATGTGAAATTATTTATAGTCGCTTATGGGGGGAAGCCTGTGCCCAGAATGAAGTCACTGAGTCACTTAAGTGAGTTTCAGTCAGACCAGAAACATGATATTTAAATGTTTAAATCATATTGAACAGCAGAAGTAGAGTTTTAGGCTAATTCAGTGTTAAATGCTAAAATTGTCCTTATGGTTTTATCTGATGTTTACATAATTACATAACGTTTTGGATGCAATATTTTCCAAAGGCCAAGCGAATGATATGACCGGTGTTTCCCTTATATCTGGTTTGGGCATAAATTAGTCATTAGAGGTGTGAAAAAATATTGAAATATCGATATACCGTATCGTTTAATGTGACGATACAGTATCAATATCGTGGGCTTCTGTATCAATTTCTCACCAAGAATATTTTTTGGTGTATTTTACTAAATTATTTTATTAAAAAGCTACAGTTTGTTGCTTGTCCAGAGGAAGGAAAGTCATTTATGCAACACATTTGACATTTTCACTGTCTTGATAATAAAATGTTTGTGTTTCATATGAACTTTGCACAAGAAGTGGTTTAACAAAGACTTTTATTACCAAAGCCATGATTTAACCATTATTTTTTTATTGAACCGCATCGAATCGATTTGAAATATATCGTTCTGAATAGTATCGAATCGAAAGCTCTCTGTATCGAGATATGTATCGTATTGTGGCCTTTGTATCGAGGTATGTATCGGTAACTTCTGAATGTCATGTATAAGTTTGCTTAGTCCTGATTTGTTTGTCCTTTTTATTTAAGTGACTGCTATTAACCGAGGTGTAAGAAGATAAGAATTTATAACTATTCCAATAATCTTATCACTTTTCTTCTCACTCAAAGTCAATTCACAAATCATTCATTCCTCAGCCACTGTACTGTACTGTTGTTGCCGTAGCAGTCCTGGGGCAGACTGACTGAAGCGTCCTGGCCAATGTTTTACACAAATTGAAATGAGAATTGAACCCCTAGCCTTTGTTTAGCTCCTCAAGATCATCCAATCAGAAAGCAAAATTAGCCTCACAGGAGTTTGATTTCAATGAAATCCAGTTAATTTAAACCTAAAGGACTCCCTCTTATCTTGATGGTCACTACCAAAAACCCAGAACCTGCAGCCAATCATGAGTCAGTGCAAGTGCAGCCTCTACAGCTCAGTGAGGGAATTCTGAAGGTTCTGAGCTTTCACATGAGGCCTGGACTGAGAATGAGTGTCCTTTATGGAGTTTACAGGTGTGATTGTGTAATTTTTTTTGGTGGAGGGTCCGTCAAATGTTTTTCTGCATGGAGATGTTATTTCTTTGCCTGGAAAGTTTCACAGTATGGTGTTAACTTTTCTGTCTTCATAGAGACCAAACCAGACCAAGTTACAGGTCAGATCTGTGGAGGAACAACCCCGCTCACTGTCATAATTTTCTATGTATTTTTGAGTTATAAAACCACCTGTAATTTAATAAATGTAAAGTAGAGCTGTTTTATGCCATACAATGACATATCCATAGAAAAAAGCAACTGATGGTCCCCCAAACAAATAGTTGCCTGAAGTGCGGACAACTGAGATTCATCTGTAATTATAGTACCTTATTTAAAACAGTAAGAGCACAGGCTACCTACAGCCCCTTTAAATCACCAAACACTTGATAAAACCCCTACATAATAAGTCTGTAAACCCGTAACTGTCTCTTACTGTAGCAGTTGGTGGGGTCCTGGGTCCCGGTGATGTTCCCGCTGTCGTCGATGCTGAGGAACCACTGTGTGCGGCTGAAGAGTTGTCTGATCCGCACGTCCCCGCCCTCCATGTAGTCATAGTTACGAGTGTGCCGTTCGTGTTTGGAGCAGTTCATGATGGCCGCCAGTTGCTCGGGGCTACAGTCGCTGGTGCACAGATGCACGCTGCCCAGTAAGAACAGAGCATGGAGGTACAGGCCCGAAAACACGCGCTGGAGCTGACATGTCTGCATCCATTTGCGCATTATCATACAGTGCAGTGGAGGTCATTGAGAAACATAATGGAAATCAGCCTATGTCCTCTGCGTTGGTTTGACCCTTGACCCCCCCAGGATCTAAATAACGCTGGAGTGGTTGGTGCCTGCTTCTGTTTGTGGTTTCCTAATTGACCAAAGCTGTAGAGCAGTGGTTCACGTATCAGTTTTTGGAAGTAGATTTCTTCTGCTCACTTCAAAGACCTGTTCCTGGTTTAGTCTGTGTAAAGACCTAGTTTAGTCCTGATTTAGATCTGATTTATAACTGGTTCCATTATAGTTCTTCAAAGACAGGTAGAAGTCCTACTATTCAGTCCTGGTTTAGATCTGATTTAGTCCTCGATTTAGTCTGATGTAGCTTTGATTTACACCTTTTGTAGTCCTAGTTTGGTTTTGCAATAGCCAATCATTACTTTATTCTGAAGACTTTGGTTATGCAAAATCTTGGCATCTTTTAGTCCAGTTTAGATACTTTGAAATAAAAAAAAAAAAAAAAAAAAAAACTTGAACTGTCAGAATGTCCAAAACTGGCTCCAACTGGATAATTTTCTCTGCTACTCCACCGTGGTATTCCGGCAGGTTATCCCAAGGTCATATTCCAATTTGGGACGTCATAATGATCCGATTCGGTAACCCAATACGTCACTAGAAGGAATGCAGGAGACATGTGTTATTCTGTGGTAAACAAAAGCTCTGATCGTGTTACTGCCATAGAGAAAACATGTCCCAACATTCACACATGGATTCACACGCAACACTCTGGAACTGAGGCTTCAGACATGCAACAACTTACAAAACTTTAATACATCATCTTCAGCTGTCAAATCAACACTTTTGAAGATGATATATAGATTTAGGTAATAGAAATATCTATGAAACTGTGGTGCAATGTACAGCTATTCTGGTGGAAGGTCCGCAACACTGCCAGGGTAAATAACTGGTCAGATCTGTGGAGGGGTGACCCCGCTCACAGTGAGAATGCATGTTTTTCAAGGTATTTTTACACCTGCGATTGAAAGCTAGATAAGTTTAATGCCATTCTATGTAATGTGGCAAGCAAATCCACAGAGACAAGCAAGTAGTGGACCCCTCACCAGAAAACTTTATATAATGTTCTTTTGTTGCTATAATCAATAATATGCAATTAATGTTATTTTAATAGAATTTGTGGTAGAAAATAGACCCTGAAGACTCATTTGTGGCAATATTTCAAATGGGATTGGGATGGGAAGTTGTCAAAATTAGTCAAAATTTTCCACTTAGCAAGATATATTTTGCCTTCAGTTGCACCTGATTTCATAGTTTTATTTTCAAAGTACTTTTCCTCATCTGGTTATGTCCATGCTTAAACAGGAGCCCCAAAAGCAAAACCACCGAAAAACCAAATAAAATAAAGATGCGTATCACTCAGTCTTGTGGCAGTACTTCAAAACTCTTGAACTTTGAAATGTTTTGAAAGCACTGAGTCACAGTGAGCTTTCCACTCTGTAGCTCCTCTCTCTGTTTTTACACTATAGTCTGCCACGTGCAAAGAAAAGTTTCATAACTAAATATAAAAATGTTTCTATTATACAATGTCACTGAAATATCACAATAGATTTCATATTTTACATCTTTATCTCAACTTAAACAAATCAGGTATTCCAAATATGTTGTTATACTTTTACATCAATTTTTGTTGCTCTCATCCAGAAGAAGACTCCTACAGCTTCAATAATTCAAATATTCCACTATTTAAATGTATTTTAATGTATGAAATTGATCAATTGTTTTGACTCCTCAAAAATATTAATCATGTTAAAGCAAGTAAAAGTTTGCTTCAGGTCTTTGTTTCAACCCATGTGGACAATATTAAGAATTTTAAAAGTCTTATTTACTTACCTGATATTTGAATAAATCCAGATGTTGTCCAAAATATGTTCCTTTTTAATTACAATTTGAAGCTGCAAAATGCCAGTCCCCTGCTGCAGAGTGAAATCCCATAGACGTTGTGATCCTGACTGCTTGTGCATCTTCTACCTCGCTCTGCCCCTCTCTGCTCTGATAAATGCCTCCCGCTGACCTCACTTTGGGGCAATTACAGAGGGACCAGTCAGCTGTCCCGTGCTGGGATGGGGCAGAGAAACACCTCCTCCTCCTGCCTCCTCCTGTCACTCAGCCCACAGACATGAGAGGGAGCTATAAACGCCTAGAAATAGAGGCACGTCCTTGGTATGTGCTCCTAAATACCTTAAGATTTGCATATTCACTCAGACAGACCAGAGGCTACTGTCTTCCTAACACAGTAAAATCTGTACGATGCTTGTACAATCACTACAATGCCATAACTATTAAACATTCATTATTCAGTGCTTGTGTGTTTCTGTTTTAAGGAGTTTTACTTAACTTTTCTGGTGTGGGGTTCACTACTTACATCATCGTGGAGATGTTGTTGCTTGGACCAGAATGTTCCAGTAAGATGTTAAATTTGTCTATCTAGTGTTCTGGCGTACTCTGTTATGGATGTTTTTATTGCACAGAAATATTTCGTTTTTATTGCACAGAAATGTCATTACAATCTGAGTAAATACCTTGAACTATATGCATTCTTAATGTGAGCTGAGTTGCCTCTCCACAGATTTGACCTGTAACTTAATATTTTTTTGATCAGGTCTGAACTTGTTTGATTTAAAGCATCTGTACACAAAAGCATTTTTAACCAAAAACTAGGACTTGGACTTAGTAGTCTGTGTTGTTTCTATTTCTGCTATTTCTATTTCAATACTAGGAAAATACTGATTTTGCTACCACAATGATGATAAAAAACACATCATAGAACTAAATTATAGTATCATATTTCCATGTACCTCTGATATAGATCTAGACTAAACATGCCAAACTCAGGCCCGGGGGCCAAATTTGGCCTGCAGTATGATTATATTTTCCCCGCAAGATCATATCAAATATGTATTAAAGCTGGCCCTCCGGCTACAGTTACGCTACAGAGACATTATTTATTTAAAATGTTGTTATTATTTTATATTATGCTTGTTCTGGATTCATTGTTCAAGCAAAACTATTATTAAACATGTACTTTAATAAGAAAAGGTTTAACATTACATATTCCGAAAGAAGAGAAAACATGCAGATGTTGTTGAAATTTTTCAGTAAATATTTAGTTTGGCCCACGACTTAGTCCCAGTTTTTAATTTTGTCCCTCTGTGAATTTGAGTTTGACACTCCTGATCTAGACTATTCAAAAACAATTCAAAATGTTATCGAATGTTGTCAAATGTTGTCAAATGTCCTGTTTCATGTTTATTTGAGGCTTACTATCTGGGTAACAATTTTTCACCACCCCTAGCCTGTAGTAATAGTAACAGGAATTTTTTCTTAGTACTCATACTTTCAAATGTAGGCCAAGTTTCTAAATGAGATGTGAAAAACAAAGTACCCAAATCGCTCTTAAGTCAATTCTTTCACTTTCTGCGCTTGTATTTAAAGACACGGTTTATTGCCTAACATACCTGGCCTCTGCTTGTTCTCCCACTTCAAAAGTTTATATGGGTCCCGGTGCAGCGCTCCTGTGGGGAGGTCAGGGTCTGAGTCTGGTCGTAAAGGATTGATCTACGATGTGTCACCCCCATCACCTCAGATACCCCGTTCACACTCTCAGATCCAAGCCTCTATGTTGAAATATTACTGACAGCTGCGCAATGTTCATTATACACTAGGGTTGTCAAAAGTATCGAGTCAGATACTAAAACTAGTCGATCGAAACTACATACTGAGGAATACTGAAGAAGTCTCAGCACTAGTCACATTCACAGGACAGAGGGATTACATAGCTAAGAAACTGCTATGATTTAAAGGTGCACTAACTAACTTTTTGGTTGGGGGTCCGTCACCTGCTTGTTTCTCTGGATATTCCATTCCTCTGACTGAACTGTTCCACAGTATGGCAGCTCTATCTTAGATTTATTCAATTATCAATGGTTTTATATCTCAAAAACACCTAGAAAAACAATTCTTACAGTGAGAAAATCCAATCTCCATTTGAGCCCCCACCAGAAAAGTTACAAGTCACATTCTATTGTCTAAATAAAGAGTGTATTTATTAGCATCGTGGTTTAGTAATCTGTATTGAGTATCTAGTCTATTCCGCAGCATCGAAATCAAGTTTAAAATTATAGTATTGTGACAACAGTATTATCCACTAATTACTATGCAAATCATTACAATCTGAGGTGGAAAAGTTGGCAAAGGTGGGAACAGCTCTCGATGAAAGCGTTTAGAAAAAGCAGGGACTTGCAGCAGAATGCCTCAAGCTGATTGAGCGAACCACCTTGAAGTGGCCACCCACCATTGTTTCTTTTTAGCCAGTATCTGCAAACCTGTCAAAATAAAACCAAAACAAGTGTTAACATGTAAAAAAAATGAATTTAACCATTTTTGCAATTCATATTTGCACATTAAGGGCGTTAAAAGCCACGATCACCGTCCGGCAGCAAAACCATGTTTGTTTTGCTTGGTGTGGGCCTGGTGCTTGGGGTTCTCATAATGAAACACCTCCCTCTAAACAAGAATTGATACTAAAAAAGTCACATTCACAGGACAGAAGTGAACCTTTCCTGAATAGCTTTAGAATGATCTTGAGCTGTATCAAAAAAAAAGTATGAGACCCATGGATCTATAATAAGACCTAGAAAAGGCATTCCCCTTTGTCCCAGCTCAAGACCAACTAGGGGTCGCTCCATTGATACTGCAGCTCTCGGGAGCGTGTGCCCAGAAAGATTCCATGTTGTTCCTTAGAGCACAATACTTTTTTTGTGTGAAATCAAACTGCCCACGTTCATCTGACAGGGCATTGACAACTTTCACAAAGGTTGGATTTTGTATGTATGCTTGTCTATTTTCACAACATAAACTTTTAAAAATGTTTAAATCCTCAAAGTGCCTAAAAATTTGCTTTGTAAGACTTAGCCTAGCTCCGCTCTAGCAGCTATTACCCTGGTTGGTCAAAACAGATCACACAGGTGGGCCAAGCTAGCGCATATTAAGGAAGTAATGCGGAAGAGAAAATAATCTTTGGGCCCATGCGCCATTGAGCACAGGCCATTGAAAACAATACTATGTCATCTTGGGTTCACGTTCCAGATTTTATTATAGTTCTGTGGTAAGACCACATAGGCTAGTATATGCCCATGGACCACTAGGGATCATCTAACCCTAACCCAAACCTGGATGACT